AATCGAATAAAACATAAGTAATTTTAATAAATTTTGAAGTACAGTAATAATCTAATGTCATCAAACCTATACAGATCAACTCCTCCTTTATCCAGGGATGTGTAGATTATATAGCAAGAATCAGACAGACTTGTAGAAGTCAGTCAACTCGTTCGAAATAGTCGAAGGTCTGTAGAGATTTATAGAGAATGGATTTTGCACGGATCAAGCAAATGCGACCGCGTGAAATAATTAGGTTCCTTTCACATAGTGCAAGTGAAGATAGGAGTCAGTCGTAGTGGAATGTAATGCAAGTCGAATGCAACTCGTAAAAGTTCTATTTAATTATACTGCACGTGCTTTCAGGTAATTCTTTATGTAGATCGAGACGAATTGTCCAATTTGTAAATAATGTGAATTCACAAATAAATTATATTAACATAAACATACATACATATACATATATACATATTATGTATAATGCGTGTTCCATGGTTAAGCTCACGACTTGTGTGAACGGGGTTGTGAGTTTGCACCCCGCTCTGAACTACCTCTAACATCTTGCAGTAGCGATGTCGATTTTTACTGGACAATATAGATCAAAAATATGTTTCCAAGCCCATTTCGTGTACTGCGGTGTGAAATGGCAATAGGAAGATTTTCACACTATTCTTCCCTGAATCGAGTTGGAGTTTAACTCATTATCAGATCACGGACCTGCTCTAGAGCATTGCTAGCCATATTATTATTTTTTATATTATATATAGGAAACCCGGATAACACAGTATTTATATGATACGGATTTGCTCTCATACGGTTAAAAATCTAAGAATATCCCTCTTATAACACGGTACTCTTATAGCTCTTTTTTTCTAACAATGTTCTAACAATGAATTGAGAAAAACCCTGATAAAGATATGATTTATAATGAAATCTATTAAAAGAGGATCTAATTCAAAATTGGTGAAATCATCATACAATAGCTTTGTATGACATGATCATCAATATAATTCTGATAAAAAAAAGTTATCGGCATTTTTCATTTGCACTAATCGTTATTAGCACTTATGTTAGTTATGATGAAGAAAATATTAATTAATTCATATAATATGTATAACTTCTTGAAAAAAAAAAGAATTAATAGGGTAGAGTAGGGCTTAAAGGTCAGCGGGTAAAAAGGTCCACCACCGATATCTCAAAAACCAGTAAAGAATTTTTTTAACAATATTTGAAAGTAGAGGGCAATATATGTATAAGTAGCCATCACTATGATTTTTACGACATTGCTACTGAAAAATAAACGGCAATATTCGAAAATCCATAACAAAAGTATTTTCTTCCGTTTTTAGTTTGGTTGTGATAAAAATGAGTAAAAAAAGTAAATTAAGTTACATAAAGCAATTTTAAATAGTTTTTTCAACTCTACTGATGAATATTTCTGACGAAATACCAAATCAGGGTTACTTACAGTGTTATCTCTGTAAAAACTGCATCCATAAAATTTATATTTTTGCATTGGTTGATGTAATGTAGCTATTATTTTTTAAAGTCCCTTTAAAATTAAAACAAGACATTGGGCCTGTTTGCCCCCTAGCCGTCCAAATTTTTTCCGTCTATTGGGTAAAAAGAATTTTTTGAAAAAACAGCCAAAAAAATTTCTACAAAAATGAATTAGCAGGAAGTTTTACTGAACATAGTCAGATAGTTGTTTATTTGATAAGTGTTATTTGTTGTAATATAATTGGTTTGGTTTCGCTCAAAGTCAAATCGGAGCTTTGTGCAGAAATTTATATTGATACTTCCGGAATAGTTTCTTACGCAGTTAGAATTGTTTTTTTTAATCTCTACAGATTATCAATCAAACACATCGATTTATATATTTGTTTGAAGCTAAAATTTTGATTTAGCATATTTCTGATGGACGATTGCAGTCATCTGCTTCATTAGTAAGTTGTAATTCCAGTTTGATAGTATTTCTTCATTAGAGAATTCTTAGTTGCTTTAGATTAGACATGTCTGCAAGTCGGTCTCCACCAATTTAAAAAAATCAATGAAATAATAATAATGAATATTTGAATTCAGAAGGACGCGATTTCGATAATCTATCAATACGCAGTAAAAATTAGTACTAATATAACTGTTCCTTAAATTTCACAAAAATATGAAAATAGACTGATCCTTAGCAAGTAAATTGTCAGATCAAATACATTGTAGAAAATACAAAAAAAAGATACATTTTAGAACTACTAATAGTAAGTAAAAATCCATCAAACCTATTATTTTTTTGAGCTGTAATCTTTTTGAGAACTGCATCTATGGACGAAGTTTTTAGTTTTATTATGAATTTTATAAACAACTTATTTAATGTCTTAGGCAGATAGATTAAAAAAGTATACATTAAAAAGATTTCTTGATTTTGACCTCGATTTAAGTAGATATCACATAAATCAAATTATATTTCATTTATAATACTAATAGTACTAATTTACATAAAATAGCTATATTAAGGTATTACTTAAAATTATGGTTATTGCCTGTAAAAATGGTACTTTCAATTTCTGTCTTGATAGATTGTACAAATTCTTCACTGTTAGTTTGGACTATCAATTAAAAAATAAATAATTAATAATAATAATAATAATGAGTAATGTTAAATGAGATGTTGAATAAGTATGAATTCAATAAATAAAGGTAAGTTATTAAAAAATAATTTTCTATCAATTTTAAGAACTTTTAATTTTTGAAATGTCTGTAATATCTTGTCTAGTTAATTTTTCTAACCAATTTAAATTCCACGAGAATATATTTTAATGTAATTTTAACTTTTTATTACAAAAGTTTCTCCACGCCACGCTATCATTATATATTCAGATTGAAAGGAACAAAAGTAAAATTAAATTAAAGTGGACATGTACTTTTTAAGTAGCATGTAAAACTTTCTTGTTTTTTGTGTAATTTTTAACTGTACATGCAAACCTGCTGAATGCAAGTTGTCAAGTATAATAATTAGTATTTAGACAATAATTATTTTTTTCAGATAAAGAATTGTATTGTTTTAAACTTCTCACACAATATGTTCTCGCGATGAACTGACCTCCCAGAAGATAACACATACGACCACCTAAATTACCTTTGTATTAACTTTATATATATATATATATATATATATATATATATATATATATATATATATATATATAAGATGTATATAATACAGGAAATTAGAGACAACAAACCAGATCCTTGCATTTAGTTCTGTAAGGATCTGGTTTTAGATAAGGATACTAAGTAAATTTGCATTATTATTTATATTCAGATATAGTATTAATTATATAGATATAAAAAAGGATACTGCAAAAAATATCAATCAATCAATTTTGTCTCAATTTTGAAGATTGTGTATATTTCTATATCTCGTATGTAAATATGGTATGGTAGAAAACTACTGGTAACAGTTGCACTGAAAAGTTTCATTTACAAATAATTTTTTTTGTTAATTTTTCAAAAAAAGATCAATCTAAAATTTAACATAATAAATATATAATGTCCTTGTTCAAAATATAGTTTGTAGTCAATATTTGAGTTAACTAGGTGTAAGTGGCACTTTGGCTTAAGACAACCAAGAACTTGTATGTGTAAAAGATCAACTTAAAAAGAATTGATTTTAGCAACTTTTTAAATTATGAATGTTTCTGTTTTTTTTTTCAATTTTTAGCTATACCAAAAACTAATTGGTAACGATTGGTTTTTATAATTAAGCCACTTTAAACAGAACTATTTTTGCACATTTAGCTCTGTATCTTCGAAATAGCTGGGCCTGCCTTTGCCAAAAACTAATCAGCTCATCTACCTATCAATAGGAATCGAATGTTTTTGGAACCATTCTGATTGGTTGATCCGTGCGCCCGAAAACGTGACTGGAAATTTGTATCCATATATACATACACACACACACATCCATTTTTTCTGAGGTATGCCAAAATGTTCAGAAACCTTCAAAACGTCGAGAAATGCAAAAATTTTCATTTTCGATTTTCGGCCCATTACAATAACTTACCCTACGGGAAGATAATAATTCAACGATTTATCAAGAATAAACTCAACTAAAAACCAAGCAAAAACTACTGATCAGCAAAATTCCTAACTGAAATCTGAAATTTCAAAATTGGTTTAGGATCGTTCGTCAAAATTCGAGCAAATATTTTGGATCCTTATTATTCAATAAATAATATAGTTTTTCAAAAAATAACTCAACAAGAGCTTTAAACTATGTTTCTTAGTCTTAAAAATAGTATTTTTGGTAAATAAAACTCTCCCGCTTTCGAAAATATTATGTCATTCTATATTGAAGTTAACATAAAAATATAAATGGTTATTTATGGAATACAAAATTCATTCAAATTGTAATAATGATTATTGGTAAATTTTAAAATGTTTACAAGTAATTCTTGTAAGTATGTATAAATAATTAACATATTTTTAGGAAAAAATGGGACTAAAAAATCTTGATCTTATTTCCTTAAGTTAACAATAAAAGTTATTTCTAAATGGTTCCCACAAATTATGTTTCTCATTTATCCCGGTCTCCGCTAAATGGGGTATGATAATATCTTTACATCATAAAGCAATGCCATCGTAGTCACAATATAAAAAGTGTTGCAAATAGACTTGTGATAACAAACAATAATGACTTAATAGTAAAAAACTGTGGTAGAAAATCTTGGTTATTTCTTCTTGAATATCACGTCGATCGTATGTGTTTACAGTAATAAACAGATATTAGGTTTTTTTAATGCAAGTCAAATGTATATTAACATAATTTGAATAAGATTTGATTTTAGATAGTTTGTAGCATTTGTTATAAATTTTATTCATTTAATATTTATATTTATTCGTGACAGAGGCAGCTTTAGTTAATTTGAGATTTTAGTAAAATTTGGGTCCTAAGACGGAAGAGCAATGTTATATTATTTTTTTATATATTGTGATGTTTGATTTACCTAACTACGTTGATTTTGTACATGGCAACCCAAAGAGTTGTTCTATCATTTTGTGATGAATTTTATCATTACAATTTCTGTAATACTGATGAAATTTTCACGATTCAGGGTTACCAGGCAAGGGGTATGTTCAATTGGCAACATGTTGCTATCTGTCTAAGGCGAGTACCGATTCTGAGACCTGCAGTTGAAATCCCATAGCTCTAACCACTACTCTATGGAGGAAACCGCGTTTGAATGAGATTTATCTTATTCATTTGATATTCGTTCATAAAACAGGCAGATTTAGCAAGTTTAACAATTGCTGAACGACATTTTAGTCTCAGACTGCAGTTCCAAACTGATCAGTTCTTGAAATGGACAGTACTAGTATATTTGATAAAAGCAATATGTTATTATTGTGAAGCCAGTTAGATATATCATGGCACTTGTTTTTTTCAGGTTTGCCACTTCTTCATGACGAGTATATTCGTCAATCACAGAATGAGAAGTTTAGGTTTTTGCCACAAAATTGGATTTGCTAATTTTGTGCGTTCAGAACACGCAAGTCATTCTGAATTGTTTTACACTAAAATTAAAAAAGAAGTATGTAGGACAAAATGAATCTTTGTCAATTTTTTGTTTGCCGAAAAGGCTTTACTATAAAGACACGCCTGGCAAATCGTGCGAGTCGAGCATGTTGCCATTGCAGTCATTCCTTAGTTTATTTTATTAATTTCATTTACAAAACCTTTTTTTAACCAATAGGAACTATGTGTTCTATAATCAGTGTTCATTTTTGTACTTCCCAACTTGAAAATTCTCCGGTATAATAAACCGTTACTGCTTTATTATGACAACAAAGTGTTGTCATAGCAACCCCATGTTACGTTTCTTTCCTCGTAGTAAAAACTGCAAAATTGCTATGTACTTTCTGTGCAGTCAGAAGTATTAGATATAAAACCTAACCTAGAAAAGGCACAAACATGAAATCTTATCATAAGTGCATCTTTTTTATTTGTCATAATAACACACGTGTGACCTTAGGTTTCATGTAAAAAACGCCTGATGAAAAGTAAAGGAAGCGTCCATTAATCACGTGATCAAGTGACTTTTAGACCCCCCTCCCTTTTGGTGATACGCCGTGATATTTAAAATTACCCTCCTCTCCAACCAAACATCACGTGTATTTCTAGTTTGAATTTGAATTTTTAGTTTAGTTTAGTTTAAATTTTCTTTAATAATGTTTCGATTTTTTCAAAAATTCAGGTAAAATATAAATATACGTGATATCTTACTAGACCGCCCCCGCGCGATGTTGTATGATTTTTTGACGAAACGCCCCCCTCCTCCTAAAAGCCTAACGAGATTGGAATGGAGGCTCCCAAATTATTTTGGCAGTTTTTAGTACCAAGAACGAAGAATAACTTAGCTTCACCATAACAACGCTATATTGTTGGCTGTTTTACCGGAGAATTGGCTTCTTAGTATTTTTTGAGAGAACAACCCAGGGGTCAACCACTCTTCTTTTTATGTATAGATCATTCATTACATATGTACATCTAATAGTGTGGGCGTATGTATGCTGCGCAATGCTCACAAAAGGAGATTTTTACTTGGGTTCATATTTGAAATTTGTGGAAATTTGATATCACACTGCTTGATATCAAGCTATCCGATATCAAGCGATGTGAATGATTCAAGCAACATTTAATTTGTATTGATCAGACGAAGAAGTGATTAGTTTTTAGCAAAGACAGACCCAGCCGTTTCAGACATAATGAGTCAAATGTGTAAAAAATTACAGTTCTTAACGAAGCATCTAATTTGAATTATTCGAAAAACATTTTGCCTTTGGAGAAATGATTAGTGTTTGGGAAACGCAAATTATATATTTATTCGGATTTTAATTTTAAATCTGAAATTAAAAATATAAACGGTCCAGGTTGGGATCGAATCATAAAACATGTGGTGTCATTTCGGCCTTAGACAGGTCGCAGCGAATAACAATTTAAGCATTGACGCTTTGCAATTGCCGTAAATCCTGAAAAGCTCGCTCAGGCAAGATTATCGCGTTTATAAATAAAAGCTGATGTGCTGTTCTGTGCCTTGCTGTTGCTTTTGCTGTTGCTGTTACCTGTGACCCGGTCATTGCGTGAGCAAACACATGAGGTACCCTGCCCGATCTACGGACGCCCATTATTGTTTATTGTTTATTGTTTATATTTCTACATATTATACGCTTGATTTGACATACATTGGCTTTAACATTATCATTAACCTTTGGTTCGGAACGGGGAATATTTTCTCATGTATTTTCATTGCTGATTCGGGGTCGCAAAAACGCTGTTACCGTAGTAAAAAAATCACGCAACTTGATAAGCGGTAAATTACTTGTTTACGTAACTCACGTGTCACATATATAATTTTCAACGGATTTACTTCAAATTTATTATCTATTATTTTCTGATTTATCGCTTTTTATTTCTCAATTTTAAGTTTCTTCGTGATTGTGCCTTTTAAATTGCCTTTTTGATTATGTTCTAGGATAAAGTGAGTAGAAATCAATTCAACGGTCTTAGGGTCTAATTTAGATAAATTCTGTAAAATTTTTAAAAGTTTTAATATTTCTTGAAAATTTAAAAAAAATAGATTTTCGAGAAATTAAATTTAAAAAAAAAAAAATAGGATTTTTTTTCAACTTTCTGTAGCGTAAATTAGAGTATTCGCAAAGAAATCGAAAATGAAAGTTTTTGCATATTTTTACATTTTAGAGGTTTCTGAACTGGATATATGTGTGTGTATCTATTTGTGTGTGTGCATGTGTGCGGATACAATTTTACGTCGACGATTTCGAGAATATGGATCAACCGATTTGATTCAGAATATTCACAATAATTCAAAGAGCATTCTCTTCCTATTGATGTGAAGACGTGCTGATTAGTTTTGAGCCAAGGTAGGTCCAGCCGATGACACTGGGCAAACAGTGCCATAAGTGGAAATTCAGATTGTGAGAGAACGGAGCATCTGATTTGAATGATTCAAAAAACATTTTACTTGTATTGGCAAAATGTATAGCTGGGAAGTCAGATTCAGCAGTAATTCAATGAAAAAAAAAAAAGCAATTTTGGCACTCAAAAATAACTAATCAACATAGGCTCATCAAAGTATGAGATATTTTACAGAGATTTTGATAATAAGTACAAATTTTGTTTACACTTCCATGGGTTCCGTACCAATGTTTAACAGATAGAGTCTGAGACGCAGCGCTCACGCGCTTCGATATTTCATCTCCAAAACAGCTACGCGGCGCAATTGCACAATTCTCAAACTTCAATAAATATTGAAGCTTTTTCAAAGTACCAGCAATTTCTTTTTGTCAGGAGCTTAATTCTGCAGCATGTTACTCATTACACTAAGAAATTAATTCTTAAATTATAGATATATATTTTTTTATTTGAACTGACACAAAATAGTTTAGAAGTGCTATTGTGAACTATTATTACCATAAAATAATTAGAACATGCCAATTTACATTCCACTGAAGATGACAAAATAATATGTTGGAAATAATAACGTTTTAAATTTCAACCATTTTTTTATTAAACTGTTTTGATGGGCCGATTCTGCTGCACAACAGACCAATGTTATAGCAAGGCTATGTTACGATCCAACTTGCATACATTATGCTACCGAATCATACTGAATACGGTCAAAATATCAAGCATTTGCTGTGCCTTCAAGAGTTTTACACATAAACTGCAACGTCACTCGTATGTTATGAAGCTGGGTCAGAAAACCCTGTTATCTAAGATCTTTTTTTTTATATTTGTGCAGATTCTGGGTTAGGTTTTCTAGGTGACAACATGAGAAAAACTCCTGACTGGACAGCACCCACATGGCTTTTGTCAATATTTAGTATGGAAAGTTTTTCATACCATAGCCTTGCCATAACATTGGTCTGTTATGCGGCAGATTCGGCCCATGAAAATTATAGATAAATTTATTATCTTCTTTCATTGATCAAAATGTAAATATACAATATGCATCAATTTGAAATATTAGACTCTACAAACACATGTTTTACAACTCTGAATCAAATAAGATTCATACAGGAATCTCGTTGGGTAAATAATTTTAATACAGTGTGTCGAAGTGCACCTGTACGATAATCAATATAAAATATTGAAACGTTACAATAAATTACAAAAACAATAAATCAAAATCCATATTTACATAAAATTATCAGATTATCTCATCCGTTATACACTTGGACAAAAATCTTACGCACGGATGTTCGTGATGTAGAAATTGCTGTATCCATTATTATTATTAATCAATCTTCTTCTTCTCCAAGAGGCGTTCATTAACAGTGAAATATAATTGACGTATTATTAAACTAATATATCTTGTGCGTGATTTTTTCGATTTGTCGCGTGCTTTACGATAATTTCCTTAGCGACGATTGCCCTTTGATTGAGACATGCACAAAGGAAACAAACTGAACAAACACGTGGAAATTTACAATACAGTAAATTTACAACGCGTATATTGTCTTGGGTTAAGGACAATTCTTTGATACGAGTTTTTAAGAGCTCACAATATCGCACATTAATATATAAAGCGCTTCAAATGAAAATCCTTCTTCAGGCCGAGACGGTAAATAATTACCGTGTCTTATGTACGCGGAAGAGGCTTTATGTTTTAAACAATAGCTCGATTAATATCGAAAACTGGTTATGTTTTTGAAACTATCTCAATGCGAGATAATAAATTGGCAAATTCCTTGCTCCACACACGATTTATAATATTTTTACTTGTAGATAGTACATGGCGCCATGGTAAGGCTTTGGACTTGCGGCCACAAAGTTTTGAGTTCGAATCACACATTCGGTGCAACAAATAGAAGTGATATCAATTTTCCCTTGGAAAGACATATCAAAATTTTATTTTCAATAAAATACAGCATTTTAGGCTATATAGATGTACGTAAAGATATAATGACAACAAGAAGACAATTGTCTTCTAATAGACATTTATTGTAAAAACAAACTAGTTGGTATTGGTATTTTGCCTGGAGGCAAGTTACATGAACCTTCTTTCTTTCATGAATTGTTATAATTGAACCAGTTTCCGTGAGACTTTAATGGTTTAATATGTTCATTAAGACCAAGTACTTTATCGTTATACTAAGTAACTCGTCTAATTTTAATTTTAACAAACGCCAAAAAAATGCTCATGAACTTTGATGAATTTTCAAAATTAAACTACTTGTCGTAAGGCCGTAATATTTCAGTAAGTTCTATAAGACTATGATATATATCGCCAAAAAAAGTTCCATAAAAATCGACAGTTTTTTTTCAACAGTTAATTACAAGAAAACGGCTCGGTAGATTCTCACCTAAAACTAATCAGTATCATTTCCAACTAATATCTTTCGAACAGTTTTTGATTATTTAAAATCGATTCGGTAGTATGAGATTAAATGTGGACAAAAAATTTAACACTTTTTTCTAAATTACAAAAAAAAAAACGGCTTGGCCGATCTCGCACACAACTGAGAAACGATAATCCTCATTGAGATACAACAAATGGCTTTTGAATTTCTGAAATCGGTTCAGGCGTTTTTGAGCAAACGTCGATGAAAATTCTTATTTTGACAAATACCAAAAAAAAGGATATTAATTTTTGAAAACTTTGAAAAATTTTTAAAATTAAACGAATTGTCGTAGGGCCGTAATATTTTAGTATGATCTAGAAGACTATGGTATCTACCGTCAAGAAAAAAAAAATAAAAATCGTGGAAAAAATTTGTTTTAACACTTTACCAAATTTTTATCAAAAACTAATCAGCCCGACCGATCTTTACGAAAAACTAATCAGCACGATTCCCAACGAATATCTTTCAAACAGTTTTAGAATGTTCAAAATCGATTCAGAATTGCGGGCTAAAACGTGGACAAAATTTTTTTCACTTTTCTGCGATTTACAAAGAAACGGCTCGACCAATCGTCGCACAAGAAAATTGAGAAAACGTCAATTTACGACAAAAAATCTGTTCACACACACACACATACACACATACACACATACTTTTTCCTAATCTCATTCGATTCAGAATGGCTTGAAACGTCGAGAAAACAAAATTAGCGAGTCGGATTTTTTGATCAAAACATAAACTTCTCCTTTGGGAAGTTAAAAAATATAACGTGAAATAGCAATTGCAACATTAACAGATTTTTAATCAAAAAATTAATAATGCTTTTCTTCATTCCAGGAGCACCCAAAGTATTATGTTCCGAATCGACGATGCGTGTAGAAATCGAAATGGACGGTGAAAATTTGGGAAAACGATTTTATTTGGATCATTTACAACATTATCCAGATGAAAAGTGCAAACCCCGGAAGGAAGGCAACCTGGCTGTGTTCGAATTGTCCTTGGACGACATCTACCAATGCGGAGTAACTCGTATGGTCAACAAAATATCGGTAATTGGAATTTGATTAAAATTTGGTAATGGTAGTAATAATACTAACGTTATATCAATCAAGTCCACATTCTATTATATTTCTATTAATCAATAAAATAAAACAGGTCTATCAAAATTGTTGAGATCTGTCCCTGTTCAGATCGTTGAGCCAAATCAAATATTTACCATTGTTTAACAATTTATTACCAAATTCAGACTACCTACAATCCTACATTAAAAATTTCAACATCATTTTGAAAGTAAACATATATTTTAATATTTTCTAATCAACATATATCATTGCATTTATACTGTATCAAAAAGACGTCTCCGTCATAAATTTATTTTATGTTTTCTTGATCTGCAAAGAATTTATAATACGCATCTCAGTGCAATTTCAATTCGGAGATGAAATTCCAGTTAATAATACGATATGGACTAGTTAACTAATTTTATTGCAATCTCATGCCTCAAGTTACAGTAAGCATCAAAACCTATTTTAGAACAAGTACATCATCGGCTGCGAATATGTGAAATTATGTTAGTCTACTTTATTGCAAACAACCTGATTTCTTTTGGAAAATAGTCGAAATCGTAATAAAAATACATTTATTTTTTATACAAGTATTCCATAACAATAAAAAGGCGTGGATAATATAAAATTTTAATTATACCTCGTTTAAATATTGTTGAAGTCATTGCAATGTTTAATAGTGTGTCATAATTTTTAAAATAATCAAATTTGCATGTTTTTCATTTGTGGAATACCAATCAGAAATTCTTGTGACGATTATTGCTTTTTTCGTAGATAATTTTTATATTAATGGATAGACGGCAAACCAATAGATGCCCCATTCTCGTTTTGATGTATTTCTTTATTAAATGACCAACCGTTGTTCTTTAATTGTGCTAATATTTCATTTTTTTTTAACAAACGAAACCGAAAAAAATTATGTGCATATAATATATGTATGTGTATATGAATAATAACACGTTGACTGCCTTTCTTTCTTCTTTTCATCATAACGATATCAACTATCCAATCCGGGATCCAATTTAAACTTGATAAGACGTTTTATGAGATGCTGATTTACAAATAAACTAGTTTCGTCGATTGGGTATTTATTTTGCATTACGTATCGAATTTAATTTTTTTGTTCAATTTTGAGGAAAACAGGAACGACTAAAGCTTTATCTGTCTTAGTGATTTTTTTAAGCTTCTTGTATTAAAAATAATTTTGTGATATTCACAACTACAGTTTTATCTAACGTCTTTGATTTAGAACGAAAAAAAGAGTACAAGCAAAATTACTTACAAGGAGAACCCGCGCGTAATTTGTCTCTGATTTTTATGAAACTTGGCATAATGGTAGATTTTATTCCCAAGCTAACCGTAGTAAAATATTAGAGGCCTATGAACATCGGTTTAATTATAAAAATTAAAGTGATTTGTTAGAATAAATATATTTATATGTTCACAGAAAAGTACATTGATTTTTTAGCAAATTGTTGACAAAAGTAAGTACTCAGTAATTTTTGGCTAGTACATTAATTTTCGAAAATTGATTACAAATTACTCTTCTCCGGACTTATTTTCTATTATTATATTGGCCACGAAGACAGCGATCTTCATGGCACTGAGCTTTTGTACCGGAAAAGGATAGCACACTAAAACTAAAGACCACGTGATAACATGAGTTAATAAGTAATAAATATATATATACACAATATTCGATCAAGTAGAACTTAGTGACAAATCAGTGATCAAGAAATCAAGAAATCGAGAATCAGTACTTTATACAGTCTACTGTTACAGAGGTTAAAATAGAACTTAACAATCTGAGTCGTATGTGACGTAATACCAGATCAAGGTTATATACAATGTTATCTCCGTAAAATGTTAAAAAATTCACCCAAGAAATTTAAGTTTTGCATTCGTTAACAAATGTAGCTAATATTTTGGAAAATCCCTTAGAAATTTAAATCAGACATTGGGCTGTTTGTCCTCTGGCCGTCCCATTTTACCCCGTCTATCGGGTAAAAAGTACTGAGTTTTAAAATTTTGAAAAATAGCAAACAAAACATTTCTACAATGATGAATTAGCTGCTTAACTGAACTTACTGAACATAGTCAGATAGTTGTTTAATATGTATTATTTGAATTGAAGGAGGATCTTTTCATGTGAGACTTGTAATTAGTTTTTTTTTAATTCTATTTTTATATCAGCATACTCGATGAATTTAAGAAACTATATTTTTGATTTTATGAATAATAAATTATCATTCAAACTTATAAAATATGAAAAAGTATAATAACAAATATACGATTATGAATTTGCAAATGACGAATGGGTGTTAAATATGTGTTATTTTTGTTTTGTATATTACAATTAATGTTTTATATTTGTACATTTCAACAGGGCAAACGTGTCTACTACCACAAGATAATAGTTGAAAGTGAAGACCCTACGACGCCGAAAGAAATAATTAACGTCAAGTGCGCTGGAGAAGCAAAAAATCACACCTTGACTAGACGAAACGTCTTGCCGGCCGGCTTCCAGGAACCAGAGTAAGTACCATGAAATGGGTCTGTGATTAATTAAATTAATTGTGGATTGGACATAAAAACTTTATATATATATATATATATATATATATATATATATATATATATAGTGTAGAGCGGGACTTAAAGGTCCGCAGTTAAAAAGGTTTACCACCGATATCTCAAAAACAAGTAAAATTACGAATTTTTTAACAATATTTGAAAGTAGAGGAAGAAGGATGTATAACCAGCCATCACCTTGATTTTTACGACGACAATATTTGAAAATACATTACAGAAGTATTTTTTTCATGGTTAGTTTTTTTTTGGTCGTGTGCAGTATTGTTTAGTTTACGAGACCATAACATAATTTTTAAGTCTGCGTTATTTACGAGTTTTATAGATAGAATTATTGTTATTTTTAAGTTAGATTCAATAGTTTTTTTTTATACAACCTCTATGAAAAAGATTACATATTGGTGAGGCAAAAATGACTATCTGAGCCTGTACCCCGGCAGAAGCGTAAACAATAAAAAATAGTAAATAAGAAAGTATGTTAAGCAATTTTACAAGAGTTAAATTAAATAGTTATTCCAACCCTGCTGATAATTATTTCCGACGAAAAACTAGATCAATGTCATATACAATGTTATCTCTGTAATAATGCACCCAAGAAATGTATGTTTTGCATTGGTTGAATAATGTAGCTATTATTTTGTAAAATCCTTTAAAATACAAATCAGACATTGGATCTGTTCTCCGTCTATCCCATTTTACCCCGGGCAAAAAGGACCAGGTGATAATTTTTTGTAAAAAAAACAGTAGAAAGAACGCATTTCTACAATGATAAATTAGGTGGGAGATTTACTGAACATAGTCAGATAGTCGTTTGATGTAAGTTATTTGTTGTGATATTATTCGATTGGTTTTCAATCCAATAAAATTGCTCAAAGTCAAATTGGACCTTTGTGCCCCGCTCTACTCTACATATATTGCACTAAAAATGAACTCTGCTAACTAAGTGATACATTAAAATGTCAGGAATTTCAGAATGTTATGTCTTAAATATCGATGTTATTTTATAATGCATTGTGCATTTGATAAGAATGACCGTTCCTCGAATATATCGAAATAAAAAAATCTCAAAACAATCATGTATTAATTGTACAATGCATTATGTCATATCATCGGTATTTAAAACATATCAATTTATAGTTTCAGAGAATTTTAGTGACACATGATCGTGTTAATTGCGTTTGTAATGTGACTCTAATGAATTGAGATTCAAATGTTTAGTGAAATTTCATATCAGTTTTGAACAATAAAACAATATGATATATAGGAGAAATAACTCCCAAAATAAACGCTTCTTATTTTCTTTTGGAATTAATCCAATCCAGTTTTAAAAAGAATTGGATGGATGCCTCAATGAAGAGGATTTATTTATTTTGTTTACTATTTAATATTTTGTTTACGATAAGTTTCACCATCAGAAATATGGTGGTCTACCAGAAAGTTTTGTCCGTTTGTGAAATAAACAAAATACTTTTTTTTCTTTTGCAAATTAACTTAATTGAAAAATACAATTGTCGTTATTATTAACGATCTCATGCCAGTGTGTAGGCAATTTGTATATTCCATCTGTTTCATCTTTAGATGCGAAAAGTTGAACTATCATATTTTGCTATGATATTTGCTTTAACTATCATGCATTGCTAGTTTCATATCTTCATTCTTGAATGTTGTGCACTTTACAAAAATTTGTAAGGACAAAAACAATTGATAATCAGAGGTTATATGTAATTTTTTTTAACTCCCAGTTATAATTTAGTTCAAAAAAGGCTCGATTTAGTCCCAGCAAGATGTGCGTATGACATCTGGATCACCCAATTTTTTTTTACTTATTATGTAGCACTAATCTTGAATATGTACTTCCAAACCTATCCTATGTTTAGAATGTGGTCAGAAATGATTTGTTGAGCTGAATTAAGCCTTTCTACAATCTTCGATGATGTTAGAAGATAATCTTGCTCCAATATCTCTTTAACATCATCGTCATCTATCATAGATGCTCGCCCGGAACAGAAAGATCGAAATAATCATTACCACAATCGTAGCATATTTTGCATTTCCTATGCAGAAACTGTACTTCTACCAGAAACTTCCTATTCATTTCTAAATGCTTTTGTTGCATTTATACCTTGTTAAAAAATTTCTATATCGGTATATTCAAATAAAAAAATATAATACAGCAACACATGGCAAACAGAAAATTGCGAGAATACATTTTAAACTTTGAAACGATAATTAGGAAGCTTTACCCAAAAACACCGATACAAAATTATTGATTCATATTGTTAGAACAATCAATCATTAATGATAATGGATTGATCCGAAAACCAAAACTTCTTACGATATTTTTAATTTTCACAAGTTTTTTCTTGCGAATAAAGGAATAAATAGTTACAAAATAGTAAAATAGATTACTTTCAACAAATAATATCAGCACAGTTCATGTTTGATTGCTAGTTCATAACTTATTTCTCGTCACTGCAAGAAAATCCACCTGACCTGACCTTAAGAACTAACATTATGAACACATTGCAATTTTATCATACTGGGTCAATTGGCGACTCTACAAAATGATATATAACATAATTTTCTCAAATTGTGGGTCAGGTCGTGGTATAAATTCTGAAAAATTTAGCGATTTCGATAAAAAAAATTTCAAGAGTAAAAGATAGTAAACAACAATAATTATATAGACATTGCATTAAAGCGTAATGATAATCAAACTCGTCATCAATAGTTTGTGTGGTAATAAAATTTACTGCAGCTAGTGCAATTTGCAATTGTAGTTGCTAATTTTTAATTATGCAATTGCTCTAAAAATGTTTATACTTCTTATATCTTTTTATACTATTTACTTTTTATACTATTCCAATGACAATCATAACGTCTCAGAACTACTTGTCTCATGAGCTGTTATTTTATGTAAGTCATCTATAATTTGATTGGAAGGCAACTCAGGGGTTGAAATTTTTCTTTCCTTATCGGTTATATTAGATATATCTATAATAGTTATGTGCATATGCTTATTTTCACTTGAGATCATATTTGAGATCTGTAAGAACAAGATATAATCTGATATCATACTGCTTGATAACGAGCTTACCGCTGGGATTGAACTTGGGACTTGGGATTGCTAGACCACGTCCTTTACCGCAACACCATCACTACTAAATATTTTGTATTTTTTTATAATGTAAGCAGCAAACAAGTGGTGCATAGCATCGTGCCTTAAGACAAATTGCTGGAACTTCCCGTACCAAAAATTAAAATTAAAAAAAACTCAATCTTTTGTTTAGAGCCGTGAAAAAATGATTTTTGAGAATAATAAAATTTTTGAAAAATTATACTTTTTTAAAAAAAAAAAATTTTTTCATACTTTGAAATATTTTAGAAATTTTAAACTTTTTTTCAAAGCAATCGCGATACGTTAACTCAAAGCGCGTAGGCGCCGCGTCGCAGAGTAATGGATAAACATTGTTATGTTATTATCGTATCTGTCCGCCAAATAGCATTATTTTTTACTTTTTTTATTGGATCTACTAAATCGCTGGACCTGCCTTCCAAAAAATTATCAGTTCTTCATTTTGTGAATATAAATTAAATATTTTTTAAATAATTCAAATCGGGCGCTCAGTTCTCACAAAAATTGAATTACCATTTTTGACACTTTTTGCCTCGCACCTTCTGTACCTTGTCCAAAAACTAATCAGTCTCTTCATCAATAGAAATCGAATATTTTGATAAATCATTCAAATCGGTTGATTCGTGTTCTCGAAATCGTCGACTAAAATTTGTATCCGCGCATACATACATTTTTTCTAAGGCATGCGAAAATGTTCAGAAACCTTTAAAACGTTAAAATATATTAAAAGTGTCATTTACGATTTTGTTGCGATTCCTACATTAAAAATACGGACATGTGGCTAATTTTTTTTCGAAATGACTGGTAGTCGGATTCGGTCATCGCAATTTCATTTTTTAAGCTTTTACAAATGCCACTGATTTATGATAACTTGATGGAACGTATGAGCCATTAATCATGCGATTATGCAATAATACTTATGTACAAATGTTATTGCAACTTTAATAGATCATAAATATATTGTATTACCTCTTTTAAATGTCATACTATAACAGATTGCAGAATTGCTTGTTAAATGCGAAATATGTTATAATAATTTCCTTTTGTGAGACGCAAAAGTAATAATAAATTAGTATTGAAATAATTGTGAAGTAAGGCGTGCGAGTAACAATAACAAGAAGGCGTGTAATACAATGCAATTGGAATAAAATGCATTTTCCGAAGAAACGACGTATTGTAAGCTATCTCGTTTCGACAGACTTCGATGCTGAAAATCTCAAGAAAATTCGTGAGAAAATATATGCAATTGCGTGCTTTTAATATTGTATTGTTAATGCACAGGTGTGGCGACACGTTTTTAGTCTTTGGGGCCACATCATAAATGGCCTTCTATATTTGAATTAACTGATAAGTTGAATTGGATTGGATTATTTAGAGCCTTAAGGTAAAAGTAGTAGATTAGGCACATCATGAATCATCTTAATATTTGAATTAACTGATAAATTGAATTGAAGTATTTGGAGCTTTACGGTAATAGTGGTTTCAAGAGATACTAAAAAAAAAAAAAAACAGAATATTAAAATTGAATCTCGGGTACACTGTACGATGAATTTTTTTGAATTCAAAATAAATAATTTTTCGGTTCTTCAATATTCATTCATTCATTCAACTATACTGATCATTGATGTAGCTTTTCATACGATACGTACCTATTGACTGTATGAATGAGTAAAATTGTAATATTTGCAAAGTGATTTTTTCCCTTCTGTCCAACAATTTTATTTTTACTCCCAAATTTACACCAAATCCAAGTAAATACTATGTGTAACTATAACTAGTTTGTGGTAAACGTCAATTGATTTTACTCCGTTTTTTTCTTTGAAGTGGATGTTTTTAAAAATGAATTTAAGCATCTAAAAAGTTCGATTAGATATTAAACTAGATAAATGAAATAAGTTCTAATGGCGAAAATTATACATTATAATTTAATTTAACAATTATTGGCGTTATTTAATTATACAATTTTAAAACGTTGATAATAAATCAAATTGTTTATTTTCATTATGTTTTTTTCTATATATCTATCCAATGATATTAGTGGAGTCCAATTTGACGTCGAGCAATTATATTGTCAAAACTAAACTAATTATATCACAACATATCAAACAAACAACTATGTGACTATGGTAATTCGTCATTGTAGAAATATCTTTTTTGTGTTTTTAAAAAAAATTGTCACGTGGTCTTTTTCACCCCATAGGCGGGGTAAAGGACCAGGTGTCAAGCATGCCCAATGTCTTAGTTTTTATTTTAAAAGTATTTTACAAAATAATAGCTACATTATTCAACCACAACAAAATTTAAATTTTATGGGTAGATTTTTATAAAGATAACACTGTATATAACCTTGATCTGGTATTTCATCAGAAATATTTATTTATTAGCAGAATTGGTTGAATTTATCTCCAAATTGGCTTTTTCCAACTTCGATTTTTTACTATTTTTTATAGTTTTCATCTTTACCAGGGTAAAGGTTCAGTTGGTTCTTTTTCTTCCACTTACGTGTAAGTTTTTATAAAGGTTATATAAAAAACTACTAAATCAAACTTAAAAATAGCAACAAACCTTAGAAAATAATTTAAATTACGTATACTTGAAAATTATATTCAAGTATCAAGAACTAAGCAGCAATGCTCAAACCTGAAAAAACTAATTAAAAACATACTTCTGTTAAAAAAATTACACCGCGGATATTTAACTCGTGATAGCGATGTCAACCCATTTAAGGAGATGGCTGGTTATACATATTTTGCCCTCTACTTTAAAATAGTATTTTGAACAAATTTAAGGCTTTACTTGTTTTTGAAATAATTTTTGAATGTCGATGTTTCCGGATTTTCATATAATTTTTTATTGTATATTTTTAAGGATTTTCAGGTACTACTGTTCAAAATTGACAAAGACAGAGATAACACTGATGTAAATAACCTTGAACTGGTATTTTGTCAGAAATATCTATAAGCAGAGGTGGAAAAGCTATTTATTTAACTTATATTTTGTAAAATTGTTTTTTCACCTTGATTTACTTTTTTATTTACTCTTTTTTATTGTTTACACCATTGTCAGGATAAAGGTTCAGTTGCTTCCTTTTACTCCAAACACATGTAAAGTTTTATAGAGATTATATTAAAAAAACAGTGTCTAACTTGAAATCTAACTTAAAAATGATGTATACCTAAAGTTTATATAGAAGTCTCGTAAACTAAGCAATACTGCTCACAACCAAAAAAAACTAAGAACGTTTGTCTCTAGATAGCGACATCGCAAGAATCAAGGTTATGGCTGGTTATTTATTTATTTATTTACTTATTTATGGCAATCAGAAAAAATATATCAGTTTTCTATATAGCTGGTTATACATCATTTTCCGGATGCTTATTTTCAAATATTGTTAAAAATTTCTTAACTTTACCTGTTTTTGAAATATACGTGTTGGAGCTTTTTACCCACGGACCTAAGCTTATCTCTATCATATGTATATATAATAAATTGTGTATGAGTGTTAAATTTATAAATATAAGTTGCTAAAGGTCCGTTAGATAGATACCCTATCACACGAATAACAAATCAACAAATTTGTCAGTTAATTACTTCTTCACCCCTTATTAGGCAAGTCAAAAAAGGTTACATTCCGAGCTACCCTTGTTGGATTAGTCGGATAGTTATCCCTGATTTCAATATTACCATCAAGAATTGTATCTCTTCGAGCAGCCTGTTGTCAGGCAGCAGTGACAATGATTTTCACTTGGAAATATAGGTAGCAATATGTTTCCAAGTAAAAATAGCCCTCACCCGGCATTGCTGCACCAATAAAAAGTCAGCCCTATTAGATTAATTCTAATAACAAAATCATCAAATATGGATGGATTAACCATTGGGTTACCATCTAAAAATACGAAGTAAGGAGAAGTTTCAGCCCAACAGCTCATAGGACGTAATGTTCTGATTGCTGTTTATAAAAAAAAAAAATGCATCTCGAGTGCATGTTCTATCGACACCGGCACCGGTGTCCCACTTATCAGATGGCTAGACAAGTAGGGCCATCTGTAAAGTGGAGACGATTCTCGCGAAAGTTCGCACTACTATCAGGTTTGACACCAATGCGTTCCACCTCGGAACAAAGACTTCGCACTAAAAGAGCAAAAGGAAATATAATTTCGTTCGGCCTACTTACATTGTAATCTAGATATTACGAACTGCAACTGCAATTGCATTGAAATGCGAGTTAACATTTTTATAACGCATCGCAGTTTCGAAAACTGATTCGCTTCTACTTTAATAACTCATGAATCATCTCTAGAAATGCAGTAAAACTGCATTCCAACATTTGTGGGATTAATATGGAAATGCTTATGGTTTTATGCAACTTGAATTACTATTTTTGACTCTGATTTATAATGGCTATTTTATTTTTAAGCCGCCGGGTTTTAGTTTACATTGTACGGTATGGTAAATTAAGTACTTGTCATAACTGTCGTAATTTAAATATATTTGACCCTAATTTCAAATTGATAATTATTTGATCATAAATTTGAATTAAGGAATTTGGGAAAATATTTTAGCTAATGCAACATTTGTCTGAACAGATATATATTTCAATAATTATGCATAAAATAGTAAACATCTAGAATATATGGACTATTACAAAACTATTTCTTCTATGGATTGATAATTGATTATGTTCGTAGATATATTTTTGATTAGTACATATGATGCAGAAGCAATATAACTAAACAGCTTAATGTAATCCGATTATTACTTTATTATTTAAAATATAGAGCTAATCATGGCTCTATTTTATTGATCCAAAAACGTTTTACTCTTTACTGATCCAAAAACGTTGCTTAGCAAAGACTGGTTCCGTGTTCAAAACCCACCTTGAGAGCTTGAGAGCCTGCTTGAGATCAAGCAGTAATTAATCATATGTCTTGAAATTATAAATCTATAACTAGTAGTGTATGGCATCGTGCCTTAAGTAAATTGCTGGAACTTCCCGTACCGTAACAAAATATTCGAGGATTATTAAATGTTTTCAAATTGATTGTTATAAATACACACTGTAACATTATCTAATATTTATGAGAATTATATAAACTGAATTGCAAAGTTGAAATTATTTATTTAAGGTATATTTAAAACTTAAATCCTAATTAAAATTAAAATCTGAATTATTTTTGATTTACAAAAAAAATTCAAAAAAATAAAATTATGAAAAAAAAATTGAAAAGAAATATTGAAAACATTTTTTTCCCCAAAAGTTATTATTTTGTTAAAACAAGCAGAAAGTTTTTTTGTATCATTCAAATCGGACGCTTAGTTCTCTCAAAAACTGCCATTTTTTGCACATTTAGCTCTGTATCTTCGAAATTGCTGGACCTGCCTTTGCCAAAAACTAATCAGAACATCTCCCTATCAATAGGAATCAAACGTTTTCTAAACCATTCAAATCGGTTGATCAGTGCGCCCGAAAACATGGACGAAAAATTGTATACATACACACACACATTTTCATACACATCCATTTTTTCTGAGGTATGCCAAAATGTTCAGAAACCTTCAAAACGTGAAAAAATGTGAAAATTTTCAATTTCGATTTTGGGACGATTACAATAACTTTCCCTACGAGAAGTTAATAAGTAAAAATGGGCTTTCGGTGGCATTGGTGATACTATATATCATCAGTATTCGATAAAAAAAATCTATTAAAATCTCATCAATGCTCAATGGTCAACCGAAAAAACGGTCATAATTTTACCAAAGCTCTAGGTTGCACTTAAAAGCTCATAATATCCTCATATTTTTTATTCTAATTTTCAGGACAGTGAAGGTCAATATTATCACCCCGTTTTATCTTGACGTTAAGGTCTGGAACACGCTGTTTATTTACTTAACTTAATAAAACTTATTATATACAGATAACAATTTTATTTCTGTAAGACCGATATCAAATTAAACGGCTTAATAAGCGACTTAATAAAGTAAAATTGTTCGAAGATTTGTTTCCTTTCTTTCTCAAATAGAGTGCATTCTAGAATAATGGTTTCAGTTGATCCGGTTAAATATCCACAATTACATAATTTCGACGATATTATTCCCAACATTTTAAAACATACGAGGAAGTTGCCATGGTTAAAGCTAAAGAAACTCGTGTTCTTTATACTACGAATATTGTTTATTATGACAATAGTAATAACACTATGTGTGATTAAATTGATCATTTACAAAAACGTAGATGTTATTTCAGTATTTATAATAAAAAGGAAAAAAGTAAAGAATTACAATTTAGGCATTTCGAACATGGAGCAAACAAAAACGAGATCTGATCTGACACTTGAACTTTTTGTTTTTGAGCTGACACTATGATGAGCTTCAAATAATGAACATCTGTCAAGTTAAAATGCGATGTGTGTTGACAGGTCGCTACAAAGCTCAAGCTGGTTAATGATATCAAATTTAACATATAATAATAATATATACTACTCAAATGCAAATATGTATGCTAAAACGAAAATGATACAATTTCAACACAAAATGTTATATATAAATGTTATAATCAATTCGTTAAAAAATTCAATTGAAACCGTCGAATAAAATAGTATTTAAAATATAAGTAATGTATGCAGCTGAGTTAAGTCACACTTCTTCACTTCTTCAATATAATACAATTTAATATAAGGGGCTAAAAATCTACTCGTTGAGGGCCGTAACAAGTCACAATTTTTTGTTATTTATATATATCTCATGATTTTTTTTATTTAATTTTTTCAGGGATTTAGAAATCACAAACAGTTTTGTAAAAGACGCACCAGAGCCTATCCTCGGCGTGGGCGTCCGACAGGCTGGTCGTCTGGTGACCGGAGAATTGAACGTCAGCCCAGGTACCCCGCTTCAAATGGAAATCTTCTTGGACAACGGATCTGCTCCAGTTTACGGAATTTTAGCCACTTATATGCAAGTAACGGATACCAAATCGCAGGAAGAAACTATCATTTTTAACGGGTATGTTGAAAAAATATAATTTAATTTTAAAGTAAAATTAGCATTAAGTCATTATTTTTTTCTTTGTTTTTATTTAGCTTTTAATTTGACTTTTTTTGTTTATTTCAAAAAAAAAATTACCTCGAAACGTATGTAACAATAAAGATGTTATAAAAATCTTTGCTTCAATTTTTACTTGATGTTTTGCCTTCCAAAAATTGGCTAATATTCCAACATTAAATTCAACTATTTTCAACACAAACGCACACGTATGAATAATGGGTAGTACTGCCCTAAGGCAGGTTCATGAGCTGAGTTTAACTCCAACTTAATTCAGGGAAGAATAGTGTGAGAGATTTTCCATTGCTATTTTACACCGCAGTGCCCGAAAATGGGCTTATCTTCAATTGGAAACATAAACACACCCACAGGGGCTCAAATGCTTCCAAATTGTTAAAAAAAATTCTTTAAAAGTTTCAGCTCTTAATATTAACTTTAAGATAGTCCGCACTCTAATCAAAGTTTCTTATGGAAATAACATTGGTAAAATTGCATTTGTTTTTTAGAATTTTATAACTTAGCGACAAGTGAATAAGAATTTTTATAATAGCATTGTATTTGCTTATTTTGATCATAAATTAAAAAATCACAGCAAAAATTTAATATGTTTTAGAAAACAAGTATTTACTTACAAAGAAGAATCAAGAAACTTTAGTTAAAGTGCGGACTATCTGAAAGTTATTATTAACTGCTAAACCTTTTAGAGAATTGTTTTTTATTAATTTGGGAGCATTTGAGCCCCTAGGTGCAAATAAATTTGAAAAATCCATAATAGGGACCACCAAGAATATAAGAAATTTGATCAATCCTTAATTTGAGCAGTGGATTCAATATTGCTGAAAAAGAACCAAGAAGAAAACTAAATTTTAGTCCATAGTAAACTGATAAAAAATGTAAATTTACATATATATATATATATATATATATATATATATATATATATATAAAATATATATTATTTCAGATGTTCAGTAGATCCATATTTGTTCGAGAATTTCAACACAGTAGATGGTGATTTCTTATCCGCCAAATTCCGGGCGTTCAAATTTCCGGATTCGACGTACGTTCAATTCAGAGGCACAGTCAACGTGTGTTTGGACAAATGCACTGGCGTAAGTACAAAGGATATCGGAAATATAGTGATAAAACTCGATGCATGAGAAACTCATTTCATTTGCAATCATATAAAATATTCACAATACACACAATTTATAGAAAATATTTGGTAAGCATGTATATAACGAGTGCTCGTCAAACATTTTGGCAATTTGCTTTTTCATATGTATATTAACAAGGGATAAAAATGTAAAGTACTCGACAGTTTTTTTTAATTTTTTATATAACCTTACTGAGTTAAAAAAATGGCTGAACATTTGCATTATTTTTATATCCTCCTGCTATTTCACAGCACAGCAGTACCTACTACTTCCATTTGAAAAATAGAGTTCAATTTGAAAGCATATTTTTATCTATACTTTGAAGCAAAACTGATATAAATAATATTCAAAGTGTTTAGATAAATCAATTTAATTGTAATCATTTAATCAATAAGTTTTCAGGATATCAAATTTCTTAACAATTTAATAGAAATTATTATCCCAGGTGGAATGCAGCAACGGTCAAATCGGATATGGTCGTAGACGCAGAGACATTCGTTCGCCATCTAACAACAAGGTCTACGAAATTTCGATGACTACATTTATTAAAGTGAACTATGATGATAATTCTATCATTGATAAAGGTAATATCACATTAATGATTAGATAGAATATAAGTATCTAAAATATCTCAATCCACCCGGTAGTGTGATATAATGTATTTTAAGAAATATTTAATCAAAATCATCGCAGAAACTTAATCATAAAGTATTTACAAAGTTCAACTAGTTTTAGGAAAACGATTTTCAATGTTGAACTATTCAAGAATAGGCGTACAAGAGAATTTTCCAAAATTTAAATTATTTTCGGAGATACAGCTGTTTGACTATGATAATCCTTCTCTGTTTTTTTCCTCCGCGTTTTTCTCGAACATTCTTTTACCCATGATTTCTCAATTTTTACTGCACTGATTTACTTGAAATTTTTTATTGACATCAGAACTAGGTAGTTCTATAACTACGTATGTAATGCTGGTCCTCAAATTCAGAATTTTACTATTTTTAAAAATTTAGAGAATATCAAAAAAAAGTTGTAATTTTTTTCAGGCAGTCGCAATTTTGATAAAAAAAAATACATTTGACGGTAGTTTATACGAATTCGACATTATTCCAGATGATACTTTTTTGTTTTACTGGATTATTAGAATATTTTAAATCATGAGTATAGTTACGTGCCAATTTTTTGAGACTCCGCTTCATCACTTGGTAGAGTTAAAACTTTTTGACTGTTATTAATATTAATTTTTTTTCTGCAATCTTAAAAGAATAATTAATTACTTATAAAATAGTAAAAATAGTTTTTACGGTTTTTCAAAAATCACAAACATAAAAGCTTACATATTCAATTCAGTACCACAGAATTTGCCACGGATGCATTAAATATTTTTGTTATTGCTACATAAATATTAATTGGCAATAACCGACAGTTGTGTTTTATGTCGATTATTTCCTTAATATATTCATGCCAATAATTTCTTTAATATATATTTTATGTGTGTTTCGTGAATATTACCGACGGAGACTACAGACAATACAAAACAAAGCTTTACGACTAGCACACGACAAAACAAAGGTCCCACTGACGAAAAACTATTACCCTACAAAATATATACATGAACAGACTGACGTACCGACGATACTCGAACAAATAAAGAAGCTCACTAGAAATTTTTAACAGGAATGTAGATATCACCTCAATAATAACATCCAAGCCCTAGGCCAATATACACCAAAAATGATTTGGTATGGCAAACACGCCATGCCAAACTATTGCCTGATCGATCCGTAGCAGCAATTTTATGCATACTTCTTTCGCAATCAATGAAACGTGGTCTTTATTTTGGGGAATTGTTAACTTTTCCCTTTTTTGCCCGAATATTATTTATGCTAATAACTAATATAAAATGTATAATGGTAAAATATAGGAACATTATTGGAGTACAATACCATAGGGTAACAAATTCACATATGGTAATCGTATATTGTATTTAATAATGTTTTTTATATACTGAAATATATCCATCTATCAATCTATCTATCTATTTTGAATATTATGAATATCCATTAGCGATGACACAAACTTGATACTTTTCCAAATTTTTCTTCGACAATAAAGTTATACTTCATATATTAGACTTATAAATAACTCATTTTATCATCTGCAGAAAACTTATCAGAATTGGAAAACCAGATTAAGAGACTCAAGATAACCAACCAGAAATTGGCTCGCAATAGCCGTGCCGAAGGTTACTTTGTCCATGAAGACCAGGAAGAAGACGAAGAAATGGATTCTCGCGAGGCAGAAAGGGCAACAGTTGAAGAAACCTCATCCAGACGATCCTCCGAAGAAGATTCTATGGAAAGTGCCGGTGCATTTCTCACTTATGCATCTTACTTGTCAATTCTCACTGCTTACATAATTCTTAACAGATTAGTATGATGATTTATAAAATATTATCCGTGCATTAGGCAGATTTAAGATCTTTCTCATAAAATAATAAGTTAAATAACGAAATGTTAGTTTCTTCACAACGGCAAATTTTTGGCAATTTAATTTAGACAATATAAAAGAATAAAAGTGAAGTACCCGGATTTGCTATTTCTTCGCATTATTGATAATTTTATGTGAAAGTGACTAATTTCTCTAATGTGCGGAAAATGAGAACCACGTGTAATATTATCCTATATGAAATTTTATGAAAAAATGTCGTATCGCCAACAGAATATAAAAGGCTTATGAAAGTCCACACTATAGAATACGCATAAGAAATTATATGAAAAAAAATATTCTAATGCATTAACCTATTTTATTATTCGAATTTCATGAAACAGAAGACTTGAAATTTTATTATTTTAAATAATGTTCACCAGTATCACAGGAATTATTATAAGTTTATTACATAGGTAGGGCAACCGTTTGGGTTGCCATCAAACCGTGCTGTTTTAGAAATATTTTTTTTTATTTTTTTTTCTCATAGGATTTAAATTCATAAATCCTATAAGCCAATCCATTTCATTTACTATTTTTTTCAACATTTATATAAGTTGTACTATTACTTATGCGTATTCTTTATTGAGGTTTTCAGTAAATCTACGTACTTTCACTAAATTGGAAAACATGAAAGTAAAATATTAAGCGAGTTTTGTAAAAATCTAGAATTAAAATTTTTCTAATGTAATTTAGTAATAAGTATAAACATGAAGAGAAACTAAAAAATGCCCCTTAATTTTAGGAATTATAAAATGTAATTAATGTGATTGAATAATTTTTATATAAAAAAGCTAACTAAATAACTGTAGTAGATATTATTAGAACTTTAAGATGTCAATCACTCGAAATTATGATGCAAATGTATGTAACAATAAGAATGATATCCGACGTTTTGTTTTCTAAAAATTTGCATCATGATTTCAACATTTGACGTAAGTGATAAAAAATTCCTAATTATTACAATTACTGACTAATTAGAAAAGAGAATTACTCAAACATTGCTTTTTCCGATAGGCAAAACATTTTTACTTTTGACAAAGCTTAGATGATTTTTTTAATGGAACAGATGTTTAATCATTTCTAGTCGATAAACGATAAACGAAATATTTTCAAATAATTTTGTTAATTCCATTAAGAAAAAGTTCCAATATAAATTGCAATTCAAAGACGTATTTTGTAATTCAGACAATTTCATCAAAAATATCTACTATAAAGGTATTAGGTAGAAATTGTACCGCAATGGAGTACAATGAACTACCCATGATAGTAGTGCCAAATTCTGAAAATAAATGAGTTTCACATAAAATAAACTGTGTTTTTTATTGTAGTTTGATTTAACATTATATCTTCTTAAATGATGCCAAAGGTAAAAATTATTACAATTTTTTAGTGTGCCATTGTTTACAGAATGCTAAATACGAGTACAATTTTTTTTGGATATAAGATTATTAGTTGACCAACGCCATAATAAGTTGTATTTGACAAATAAATTGAATCTTAAATCTCATATGTTATTTCAAATAATTTTTCAACTGTTCGAATAATATTGCATAAAATATTGCAATTTGTACATAACATTGGAGGAACAAAATTTTGGGAACCAACTCAAAAATAATGTTTTGTCTACACGTCTATATATCTTTCCCATAAAAAATCTGAAATATTAAATAATGAAATACTGAATTTTCTGGTATGTATCAAAAAATCTACTCGACTTTGTTGCATTTACACAAAGACCTTTTGGATTTTATAATCTCTTCCATAAAATATGTAAAGTATTAAATAGTAAAAAATGAAAATTGTTACAAAATGACTTTTTATTGGTCTCTTTATTTAAAAGGCCAACCAAAACCAACGAAAACCAACTAAAGGGTATTGCACATAATTTTGCAAGTCAAATATTTTCCATAAATAATCTGAAATATTAAATAATTTAATATTGATTTTTTTTAAAAGTATTTCTAGTTAACCATCATAATCAGTTGTATTTGATAAATTAATTTCTCATTTTATGCACTTTTATTTTCTGGTATGTATCAAATAATCTGCCTGAATATGTTGCATTTACACGAAGATCTTTAAGCTTTTATTATATTTTCCATATAATTAAATATAGATACGTAAATTTGTCCATTGAAAATGGACATTATCACAAAATGACTTTTTATTGGTGTCTATATTTAAAAAACCAACTGAAAGCTATTGCTCAAGACAAATTAGATTAACACAAGTTTTCTATATCATATTATGCTTAAATATGATATTGATACCAAAATAACTACTTAACTAATTGTAAAGAAAAACACTTTTTGATCAGCATAATATTTAACTTTTTAATTGAGTTTGTGCAAAACTTGAAGTGCAGTTTCAAGTAATAGTATAATTATATACTTGGTTATATATTTTTTTTTTTTCACAACTGCCTGAGAAGGCATTCAGTAATTGTTGTGATTAGTTATTAAATAAGTTTTTAAAATACTACCCATTGGTAGTATTTCAAGTTAGTATAATAAATATAAATATGTGACAATAATTGCAAGCAAATAATAAATATAAATATGTGATAAATAGTAATAAAAAATATGTGAGAATAATTACAAGCACTATACTAACAATAAATATATACTAATCTCTTGACAGTGTTCGCAGAAAGTAGGTTCTTATGTTATAAAAATAAATCTTTATTTCTTTAATCGTACAATATATAATATACAAAATAAAATCCCGATATATAATAATGATGTCAGTATATCAATCCCGCCTCTTATATAGGTAACAATTGATTATATAACAGGTACGTTCTTGTGACGACTTGAATGCGATAGTATGCAGTCGTATGCAGTCGTGTGCCGTCGTATGCGAACGGGATGGATTCTGTAACTGTATTTTATACCATTGAATTGTCGAAATGACATAAGATTCCAAAATTTATTTATTTATCTATTTATTTTTTAACTTTCCGCAGGCTAAGTTATAGTAATCGCAGAAAAGTCGAAAATGAAAATTTGCATAAATTTTTACGTTTCAAAGGTTTCTGAACATTGTGGCATACCTTAGAAAAAATCGATGAATGTATGTGTGTGTGTGTGTGTGTGAAATTTTCATCGACGAGTTCGTGAATGCGGATCAACCGATTTGAATGATTCAATAAACATTCTTATTAATAAGGGGACGCGTTGATTAGTTTTTGGACAAGGAAGGTCCAGCCGTTTCGAAGGTACAGGTAAAAAGTTCTAAAAATGGTAATTCAGTTTTTTAGAGAACAAAGCGTCCGATTTCAATAATTCAAAAAACATTTTACTTGCATTGACAAAATTAAGAAATGACTGAATTTTTGGAAAGGCGCGTTTAGTGGTTTCGGAGATCGAGTTTCAAAGTTATCAAAAAATTTGAATCCTTTTTTAAAAAAAATAATTTTCGGTACGGAAAGTGCAAGCAATTTCCCTTAAGGCACGATGCCATGCACCACTAGTCATATTTTTTGTATTCAAAGTCAAATACTATTTTGAATATTTATATTTGAAAACAATAATGGTGCAAAATAGGCATTTACTATAATATTAATGACAGTTTTAAATATTTAATATAAATGCCAAACAGTTTCGAACAAAATAATTCGCGGAAATCCGTACTGAAAATTTTAAACTAAATATTGCGTAATTAAAAACTATAATATTTTGCGCGAGATTTCACATTTAATTATTGCAAGTATAAACAATACGAATACCTGAATACACACAATATATATATATATATATATATATATATATATATATGCAATGATGAAAATTTTAATAATGACAGTGTTAATTAAAATGTATTTAAAATTATATCAATTCATATAACCTGTTCAATTAGTACAGAATACTCTATTACAGAATTAAATCGACACATCAAAACATGATATAAACTAGTGGTGCATGGCATCATGCCTAAAGGCAAATTGCTAGAACATCCAGTACCGTAATTTGAAACTGAAAACAGATTTTTTGAGAGTTTCGATTTTTTCCAAATATTTTCAACATTTAATTTTTTTGAAAATTTTGATAAAGTAATAAATTTTTTTTTAATAAAATTACTTTTGTGTAAATATTTTGAAACCCATTAAAGTCGGTTGATTTATGGTGTCAAAAATTTTGAGAATTTTGTTTGATCTATGATAGTAAATGATAAACATTATATAATTTTGTACAAAATGCATACAAAATATTTGACAATGCGTATGTCTAATAATAATTTTTGACTGCCACAAGACATTTTTTGAACATTTTTTTTTTAGATCTTTGAAAAATCGATGAACCTGTCTTCAAAAAAAATTCAGAAATTTTTAATTCCCTCAATTCAATTGTACAAATATGTTTTGAATTATCCAAATCGGATAAACTGTGCTCTCAAAGTTGTTGACAAAAATTTGTATCCGCACATACGCACACATATTCGTTTTTTCTAAAGTATGCCAAAATGTTATGAAGGTCTTGAAACGCAAATATATACAAAAAAAATATTTTCAATTTTCTTTGCGACTTACACTACGGAAAGTTAATAGAATCAATATAATGGTAATATACATAAGTAGGTACGTTATAAACAAATAATTTTGAATAAAAAAAAGCTATTACAAAATTACATTATTGCAATTCTTTTGTGAAATTGTTTGAATATATATATATATATATATATATATATATATATATATATATATATATACTAGATGATCCAACAGACGTTGTATTATTTATTAAACTAGATTATATAATTTCACCTGTCAACCTATATTGTATATTATATTGTTTTAATTTCTGGCACATTTCAGCTCGTTTTCGGCAATAATAATGTAGATATTACATTTTTCATTCATAATCATGAATATGGATATTATATACTAATATTGTTTAGGCTCGCTTAAACTAAATTCAAATTTCAAGTGAATCGACATTTTTGGCAGATGACAGTTCTCATATATCAAAATGTTTTGAATGCCAAATAATGATGTTTTTTGCATTTTTTCCATTTATTTATACAATATTACTATTTTGTTATAATCGCGTACATCGTAAAAAATTCCCTCAACAAACTTCAGAAAGATTTATCAAAAACCGAATAATCGTTTAGAAGGAGTATATTTACATACATCATTACAGAATAGTTATATATATATATATATATATATATATATATATATATATATATATAATTACCCAGAATCATCTAAACTATATAGCATGGAGCGAGTCATTTCGCGACCATTATCCAAATGTGGGTCTCAA